TGGTGCAACACCTATCAAGGAGCAGGTGAAGGTCTTAAACTGCTTTTCTGTTCTCCACGCTGTAGGTGATTGTGATATAGGGAGCTGAACAGCTGTGAAATGCTTACCTGTGCTAATATCTGTATCTTCTCCTTAGGCAGGCGCGCAAAATTTTGGGAGCGAAAGATGTAAAAATGCCCCTCTGCCAGCAAAGTTTGAATTGCTTAACCTGCTTCTCTTTTGATGCCAGAGGCTGTTTGTAACAAATATATGTATTGTTTGCATAATTCTGCAATTCATGCAAGAGGAGAAAAAAGGTCTTTTCAGAGTAATGACATGTTACCTTGTAACATGAGCTGTCAAGTCCCTCCCCCCACCCCTTTTGGACATACTACCACTTTTCCCCAAACGCTATTCAAGTGGGTTTTATTAGAGGGGTAAATAACCTGCTGGCATAGTCACCCCATCCAGCTCTCTTCCCAGCTACTGCTGTGAAAACTGCTGCCGCTGAAAAAGTTACATCGTAGTATAAACCACAGCAGTAATGTAGCAGTAGCCTCAGACTGCTGCTTTCCTGCCATTAATGGGAGCAATAAGGCTGCAATCAGTTAGGGTTGCTGAGTAAGGAGGAGGTGCTTTTCAGGGCTGCTTGTGTACAAATCTTCCTTCCTCCTGGACTGCACTGTGTGTATACACACAAGAGTGGCATGAGTGTTTGATAGCTATTGGCTATTAAATTAATGGCAGAATGCAGAAAAAACTTATCTATAGTTCTGAATTCTGTAAACCAATGCTTTTAAATTTGTTAAAGGTTTGACAAATTGGAACTGCAATGTGTAATATAGGGCCCATTTCCAGGAATCCATGCAGATGGAAGGTGGAGTCGTGTGATAAAGGAATGGAGACTTGTGCACCTAAGTTCACCTAGAAGTGAATCCAAAAACTGAAGAGCTGGGCCAAGAGAAAAAACCTATGTTAAAGACTGTACTGTTTTTCCAAGTGTGCACTGTTCTTCCGGATACTTACAAGTCTCTTGCCGTCAAAGAATAAAAGGGACATACTCGTAAGCCTAGTCCAACATAGATGTTACATACAGAGCTTTCTACAGAAGGCAGTTATCCTGTATTTCTCAATCTCTGCTCATCGTTGTTTGATGGTTCTTTAGATTACATTATGGGCTTTCAATTTCATTTCTGTATCTAAAGAGCACTTTCTGCAAGCTTCTGTTTTTCTGTGGGAAAAATTAGATATTTATTTGGATTTGTGCTATTCTGCTATACAACAGTGCCACCTAGCCGTTATGTAGTAGAAACACAGGAAAGAAGGGCTCTGTGTAGTGCTTAGGTCTCAGTTCTGGGATGAAATTTACAGTACATACAGTGGATTAACAGCCTTTTGTAGAAAAGCTCACATACTGCGTGAGTTCACAAGGTGCAAAAGGCTATGTGAAATCTTAATATTGTGCTTCTGCTGTGTCATTGAGTTACAGTTCTGGAGTTCCTGCACGTTAGGATTAGTTTTCTGAAACCATGGAGAGAATCAATAGCCTGTTCTAGGGTTTCCATGCTTTACAGAGGCTTCTGCAGTTATCTGGACCCATGATTACTGTTTTACCATTGTTGGTATGGGAACACCATAGTGTCCAGGTGGACATCAGTCTCCAGGTGGACTGACAAGTGGTGGGAGCCCCACTTCTTTATACTAAGGGGAAAGGGGGCAGGGCTCCCACCAAAAATTCTAGGCTTGGCTAGGAGATTATTCCCGAATTGAGGCACTGTGCAGGTGCAACATCCAGATTTATGAATGAACTGATGACCAATTGAAGGATGACAGTTACAGGGAAGCAATCTTACCATTAAGAGCAACTGTAAAAGTGTCTGCCTTTAGCCTTCAATCTGCACTACCCTAAACTCCTAACCATTTCTCACTTTACTCCTATTGGATGAACAAAATGCCCACTTCCCTCTTTACTTTGGAAACAAAGATTGCATAAAAAAAACCCAGAGGGAGAAGGGGGGAATTGAGATGAAACTCTTGCTTTTATTTAATATAACTCCCTATGGGTGCTGGAGTGGCTAGGAAGTACTGCAGACATGCAGGTACACTCCAGGAAGGGAAAGGAGTGAACCCACCTGAGGACCATGGCTTACCAATCAGGGCGAGGCTGTTGCAGTCCATAGGCAAGAACAGAGAAAGGATAAAAGCATCTTGCTTACTGGAGCTACTGGGAAGTGTGATGAAGCTGGGAATGGGGAACTGTGCATCATCTGGTGGTAAAATTTGTGTACCATGGTAACAGTCAAGGTGGATAAAAATCCATGATTAAAAATGGATTTTTTGATTTCAATTGGAAAATTAAAAAATTAAATCAGTTTTTTAAATTTAAATAGATTTTTCCTCAAAAGACATGTTATTAAAAAAATCAATCTAAACCTAGTTTCCTATTTAAGATACATCATAGTCCAAATATTATTCATCATGAAATAAGGATTAGTTTTTAATTATGTAGCATGAGGTTGTATATTCACACACTGTTTAAAGTTTTTGGTAAATGAGTACCATTAATCCATTCACAATACCATGCTCTTCCAGAGGTTTCTGTAAGATTACTGGGCAAAACGATCTAGAAAATATTATCATAGATGCTCTGTTTTACAGTTCTCAAAACTGAATTTTTGTCTGCAGAGATCACATGCCTCTTCTTCACAGCAGAAATGTTATAAAATAAACATGCAGAGTTGAGAAAAAGACCTTAATCCCATTGCACCTTTGCAAATCTAAGTACACAGAATCAACCCCTTACCTCTTCAGTGCCGAGTTTAAAAAAATTCAATGGCTAGAAGATTGTTGGGAGTGGAATAGATCTACACAAGAAGTGAAGTGTGAGGAGGGAGGGGCAGGCAGTAAAAATGAAAGTGAACCCTTGTGAGCAGAACGTGTTACAACTGTTTGGATAGTTTTGGGTATAGCCTGAGATTTATCATATTCTTTCCCTGGAAAAGAAAACTTATAGTGGCAGCAGTCTGTAAAAGAGACCAAATTTGGGAATGTTTTGAAGAAGTTCTTCTTCCTATGGCTAAGGCAGGCATACGAATTATGTAGAAAACCATGATGTAAATCTGGTCTTACTGACCAATGGCTTAAATCATGATTTAAATTGATTTGTTTTAAACAGTGCAGGGGTGTGTAGTTGGTGCCCATGGATGCCATGTTTGGACCCCTGATGTCAGGATTGAAAAATTGAAGATTTTCTTCATAATTCTGTATTGATATTGATTTAGCTGTTAATTTTGAATGTCTTTAATACTTCGGACAAAATGTAGTCATTGAAACAAAAAAAACCAAAACCAAATCTACAGATCTAAAAGCCAGTCCATATAAGATCGCAAAAGCTAAAACAGTCAACAGGAAGAAGACTGAAAACCAAACCACTGGGATTGAAATGTAAATTTATAAAGTGCGGAAGAAGCAAATGGTCTTTGTCTGTCAGTAAGAGGATATTAATATAGGCACCAGGCAAGCTTTCCTAGGGAGACTATTACAGAGCTATGGGGCAATGACTGAGAAAACCCTCTCCCTCATGGACACCCTCTGAACTTAGCATTGTGGCGACATATAAAGCAGTGCTTCTAATGATGACCAAAGGACACAGGGGGGTGCACATGAATGGAGGTGGCTGATCAGGTGCCCAGCTTTAAAGCCATGTAGAACATTATAGGTTAAAATTAGCACTTTGAGCTAGACCCAGGAATGAATTAGAAGTCAGCAAAGTGAGACACAGCAGCTAATACTTGGTTCTAGTTAAGAGCATTGCAGGCACATTTTGCATTTCTGAATGATCTTCAGAAGCACCTCTGTGTGCAAGGCAATACTGAATCCAGTAGGAGGTTATCAGAGGATGAAATACCACAACCAGATTGTCCAATCCTAGATAGGGTATTAAGTGGGATACTAACTAAAGCTAGTAAAAGGTACTTTGCACTCTAGTGGCCACTTAAGCCTCTGATGATGGATTGAAGAGCAACCCCAAGCCATGAAATTGTTCTTTCGATGAGAGTACGTTGAATCCCTTCTATCAGCCTGAGGAACCATCTACCAACAGTGCCTCTGTCTTGTCTGGTCTAAGCCTGAGTTTACTATCCTTTATCCAGTCCCCTAACTATTCATTAAGAAAAGTTTCAGAAACAGCACTAGGAAATACGCAATGTCACATGGATGTCCTCTCAATTATGAGTAAATGAACATGGAATTTCCGCAACAAATCCTTGTCTGGAAACAGACTCCATTAAAACACTGGACAAATAAACATACAACTCCCTGTCAACAATAGCTATAATTTTTCCCCTTACTGTTTGGCAAGCTATTCTGAAGTTCTGCTATTTCATGGGTAGCAACTGATATGGGGGTAGGGCATATACTGACATACAAAGCCTTGAACAACTTGGGACCAGGCTCCTAATGAGAGTGATTTCTCTCTTAACAACTTGCACAGTGATTGAGCTCACTGGAGGATTTTTTCCAGTGGCTTTACTAGACTCCACCAGGAGATGGAATTGCTTGTTTTGGAAGGTTTGACATTAGGCACTAACACTGCTGTTTTTGGTGCCTCCTAAAGACAGTCTTCCTTTGGGAAGCCTTTATTGTGGCTGGGAAGCCAAAGTCTTAATGTTATCTTGTTCTTAATATTTCAATGTGTTATTTTTTATTATTTTAGTTGTTTTAACTCTGTACTGTTCACAGCTCTGGAATCTGTTTGTTTATGGAGCAGCATATAAATATTGTAAATAAATACTAAAATGCTGTTGGAAGAAAGGAGTAAAAAGCTCGATTAGGCATATTTAAAGAAGCATTCTGGTAACATTTATGCTTGCCATGATGTCACCAAATCTGATGATTTTACATAAACTGTCAGGCTATGATGCTGAGTTTGCTTATAGAATGTATTCTTGTTCTTTATTGTTTTAAATGATCTTTTAAGTTCCTTTTACTGTTGCTGATATACTATTCTCATACATTTCTAGGTGATTCCTCCTAAGGAGTGGAAGCCAAGGAAAAGTTATGATGACATTGATTGCTTGATGATTCCAGCACCAATTCAGCAAATGGTTACTGGTCAGTCAGGCCTCTTCACTCAGTACAATATTCAGAAGAAGCCAATGACTGTGAAGGAGTTTAGGCAACTTGCTAACAGTGGCAAGTATGTATATTCATTCCATGCTTTGTTTTAGATAAAGATTGTATAACTGTCCTCTTAGGCTACAATGTAAGGACCCTTTATTTCAGAATGTTTACATTCATGTTCTGAGTAAATGATGTATATGTTGTATTTTATGGCTTTTAAGTAAAGGCTGTAACTGAGGAACAATGCAAATTAACATAAAATCACTTTTGGCTGCCTTTGCAGCTGGTTACATGTCAAGGGAGAGATAGTAAAGTAGCAACACTTTTGATCAAGGAGGGGTTTGGGATGAAATGCAATCTCATGCTCATGTTCCTCCAGTAAAAGCACTTAGTACATGACTACTATGAGCTAATGCAATTCCTTACAGCATTTTTACACCCTTCTTTTTAACATACACATGTTCTATGCATTATAATATAGGTTACTCCACAGAATGCTTACTTCAAGACAGTGCTATTTGTTTTGGATGTTTTATCTTAGATTCATCTTACACTCATTCTTATTATTGATTCTTTGAAATCAGAATAGTATGTTGGGCCATTTTGTAGTAATCAGTTTATGACTGAACCAATTTAATCAATATTTCTTACAATTATGGCACTGAAATGCTAAGCAAAAGCTGAAAACTAGTTTAGCCAACTGAAATATAGGGAATTCCAGTGCTACTTCGAAGAATATTTTAAATTCTACTACAAGAATTCCAGACTTTGGTTATGATACATCTGGTTATATACAGCTTTGGTACATTTGCAGTTTTAAAGTAAGTCTGGAGAATAGTTAAACTGAATATATGAAATTAAAGACAATGCTTCAGAGATGAGCCCTCATACTCAGAGGGTCATGCTGAAGCAATGCAAAGTGGGAGGAGTGCCCCTAAAATACCCCCTTTAATTCCTTTCTAAGGTTGCTTTCCTGATCTTGAAGAGAAGCTGCTGCAGTTCTTTCTGTGCCACCCACAAGAGGGTGGGGGACAGGAATTGGAATACTGCTTCCAAATTTGGAGTTGGGAATGTCTAGGAGGCATAGAATTACTCTATCCTTGAGACTAACTAGATAATAGAAAATTGCCTATGCATTTGTGTTAAGCAGGGAAAACCAGATTGTGCTTCAAAGCATGTATTCATTAATATGGTACATGCACAAACACATGTAACTCATGTTATTTTTGACACTGTGTTAATTTTGTACGATGTAGCTCTACAGATCTCTACATTTATCTGTGCTATTTCTGTAGTATAGGGGTGGAAAAAATATCAAACTTCCTAGCATATCTAGGAATTCTAAATGAGTTGGGTGCAGGATACGTGAAGAGCTGTTTCCTCGCATACCATCTTGCGTCCTCCCTAGGATACATTGGAGAGGCCTTTCTTTGTATTCTGGCTGTGGTTGTGGCATAATTGGTTGGAATAGCATGAGAATAAAAACCTTTCAGTGACCATGCCTGAATTGTGGTACATGTTGCTTTGTGAGATCCAAGGTACTTAAAATGTTCCTTTTCCAGAAAACATATATTGTTGGCAGACCTTCATTTTAGAATGTTTTTATCTGCTGAACTTTTGTTTTAATGCTGTGCTTTGTTTTATTTTAAAACATCAAATTGTTTTGGGTTGGATCAAGAAACAGCCTTTGGTGGACAAAAGGGTTGTGCAATTGACCCTCAGTGAAGTAAATGCATTGAAAGAATTTGTTTCTAAATAAACAAATAAAATATTTTTATTGACCCAGATAACTGGACAAGTTTCTGTAAGAAGTGTATATCAAATTAGTAGCAGAATTAGGTACAAAAATACATTTTGCTGGAAAGCCTGTCCATTTACACACATCCACCTCAAGAGAATGTTTATTCTTCACTTAAGGGGTAAAAATACATGAGTCTGAACAATCTCATCAGTTATAGGAACACATATAACATATATTGTATAATATATAAATGTTGGTCTTTTGTAAGTGTTGTCTTTTTTCTTCGCTTTTTCCAGATACTGTACTCCAAGACATTTAGACTATGAAGACTTAGAGCGTAAATACTGGAAGAACTTAACTTTTGTAGCACCAATTTATGGAGCAGATATTAATGGAAGCATATATGATGAAGTATGTGTTCTGTTTGATTATGCTTCTTAATTATCTTATGTTATACCATTTCTGTGCAATAAGAATAATAGCTTGAATATTGTCTGATTTGCATTCTCGTGCCTGCATGTGTACTTAATATAATGTGCATACGCTTGTCTCAGCTTTTGGGTGCTTAATGCAACTAAGCTGACAACTGAAAAATGGTAATAAAAATATTTAGGGGTATCTTAAAAATAATTTGACTTGGGACTGACTGCACTAAAGTTTTAATGCAGCTGCTCCCAGCCTGATGCTCTCCACATGTTTTGGATTACAGCTGAACACTGACCATGCAGTCTCGAACTGATGGGAGTTGTATGCCAAAATATCTGGCAGTCTTAAATTCTCTTAAGAATTACTGGTCTATATTAATTTTCTTGTGATTTCTTGCCTCAATAACCATCAATAGAATATGATGCACAGGAAGTATGAGACATTCCAAAGACAGAATAAATCAGCAGTATTAGAATAGCCAAAGCGACAGCATCATCTGAGTATGATAAAACAGATAGACAGGAAAACAAAACAACTGCCCCCCCAAAAAAATTTTTAAGGGAAATTTCTGAAAAATTAGAAGCAGCTTACAAGGGTAGATTATACTATTCTAACAGTGCAATCCTGTGCATATCTGATCTACTCAGAAATAAGTCCAGTTAAGCTAAATGGAGCTTATTCCAGGTAAGTGTGTATAGAACTGCACCCTAAATGAAACTTGAGAAAGGAGCCCATGGATGCTGCAACTCTGAAAAGAATGTGGAGATTAGTGATGAAAGTCCTTTCCTTTATGCATTTTATTCTGTAATAGTTCAATATGAAATGCATAGTTTGGATTGGTCAATTTTTTCTTCAGCCACCAGATGGTACCATTGCACAAAAATATGTTTTCCTGTATGTTGTATTGTATTGGAAAAATCTCTTCTAAATTTAGAAGCGAGATCTCTCACATTTATTCACATTAGGAATTTTCATGTATTCAGTGAGGATGGAGTCTGCCTAGAAATAAGGCAATGGAAGGAGAGGAAGTGTATGCTGTAACAATTTTCTCAGAAGAAATCATATGTGATAAAGGAAATATATGACTTGTCTTACCAAAAGTAAAAGCAAGGCAGACAATCCAATGGAGGCAGTTTATTTGGCACAGTATAGTAAGGCTTTTATTCTATGAGGCTTCCCTTACATAAAGGTCCTAGTCATGATATATGCAAAAATTCCTATGAAGTACCTCATGAAAATTTGAATTTTGTAAGCTAAGCAAGCATTAAAATTAGTGTAAAATCTGTAATTATTGGCACTGTTGATACATGACACAGTTAGGGTTGAATGGATTTTTGCATTTTTCTTTGAACTGCAGACCCCCATGCAATAAAGCAGGCTACTTTTGTAACTCCCTTCCTTTTTAGAAGTGACTTCCCACGCTGTTTGAGCCCCCTTGGTTTTATACAAGCTTGCTTAGTCATTTGAGTGTGATTGCTAGCCAGTATGAGCTATCTTTTATTTTGAATAAGATTTGCTTACAACCATATAAGAACATAGGTGTTGCCTAGCTGAATCAAAGCAAAGGTTGATCTAGTCAAGAACTCCAAGTCCACTTGTAGCCAGATACCCCTGGCAAGTTCACAACAAGCAGGGCCTGATGAAGATGGTTCATCATAGCAAGTGCTCGCCAGCACCTGAAATCAGAGGCATGCTGCTCTTAAATTAAGTTCCAGTTGGATATCTTGGTTAATAGTATTTTTCTTCTTTTAATTGCTATATTATTATTTATGTATGTTTTATGTATTCTTTGTGAGCCGCCCCGAGGCTTTGTTGTGATGGGGGCAGCATAGAAATGTTTTAAATAAATAAATGAACAAATAATACCCTTACAGTGCATTACAGAGCTCTGTCATTAGTTATCTGATGTGGCTGATTGTGGGGGCAAGTGGAAGACTACATAAAAGTACAGTTGTAAAATCTTTAAGTTACATGAAATAGAGGGAAAAAAGACAAGGTATAAAGCCCACACGTTTATTTTTAGAAAGCTGCAAAATCTAAGCAAACTTTTCTTTCATGATTTACTGTGGTAATATCAGCACTACTTGAAAGCACAGATAGCTCTGTATTTCATGGATATAACTGTCTGTTTTGTTTACTGATGAAGTCTTCCTTTGTACACTTGGAAATATCCTATGGTAGCAGCTGTCCTTTGGAACAAATTGTGGATTTCTACAGAGAAAGCTGAACTATGGAGTTCTTTATTCCTGATATATTTTTCTTAGGGGCATGTCCAGCTCAGCAGGATTTTGTGCTTTCTGCTTCAGAAAACAAATATGCATGAGGGGCTAGTATATTTGCACCTTATTCTATTATTTCCTATTACTGAAGCCCACTTTCTGTTGTTTTGCTCAAAAATATATGCACAATTCAAGAGACACGGGATACTGGATGGGTTCTTACGACAATCCTATCCCTAAACCTTGCCTTGATTTAGAGCTGTTTTTGCCTCTCCACAGCTTTTGTGCATTATAAACTTTTTTTCAGAGATTATTAAAGGTGACTTGCAAGCTCCCTTTTACAATCTCTGTTTGGATGGTTATTGACAGTCCCTTCAGGGGTACTCAAATGATGTCTTGGAGGGGCTGTGTGTGGCTAGCAATTATTTTAAAATCCCCTCTGCTTTTGCAACTGATAGCTGTCGGAGGGTGACCTCTTAAGCCAAATAAAAGGCTTGAGCGATCTCTGCTCACAAAAAGGGGGTGGTACACATTGCAGCAGCACCCTTTACCCCCCAGAAGTCCTCAGGATGATACACATTTTGCATTGATTTCCAGGATCCTAGGTGCTTCCTTACACAATTTTTTCTGGAGAAAGGATGATTTGATAACTTTGACATTTAGCTGTCAAAACCCTGGGTCCCCTTTGAATGGGGTGTGGGGGTTGAAAGAGTAATAGGTTTCTCCAGCGGGCTGTACAAGCCCCAGTTCAAAAATCCCCTGCCAAACCCACTTTTGCCAAATATCTGCCAAAGACTCTTCCTTAGAAAAAATCTGGAATCTCATGGGAAAAAAACTATTTTGAGTTGTCCAGAAACTTAATAAAGAAGATATTGTCTTGCATGCAAACAACACAAAAAGGAAAGGGGATGGGGCAGGATGAGGAGAAAAGCAGAACCAGTGGTTAAGTTTGCATAGTTTTTATAGTGGTCAGCTAGAAAGGCAGCCAATCTGACAGGTGATAGCCAGCTGGTCTTTCAGCGGATAAAATCATCATCTTTCCCTCTGCCACAGCATAATTGCCCACTTTTTGTTATGAAAAACATTGTGAGACATTTTATATTGCGTCAAAAATGTGTAAAATACATATGTGAAATAGCATGACTAGGAAGAGGAACCTCAAGATACAAATGCTTTGTCTTAAAGGGCTATCTTATTAAATTACAGGCATGACTTTAGGAAATCTGTCTTACTACTGAGGTTTTTTCTGGAGAATAATATGCTTTCTATTTTTAGGTTTAGGGTTAGGGATAGGGTTACTAATTTTAATACATTTCTATACTGTCCAAAAGCTGAATTTCTCTAGGTGGTTCAGGACAATTAGAATTTTAGAAATCATGAACATTATAAAACATATCATTAAACTTTTAAAAGTTTAAAACAAAAATATGTGAGTAAAAGCCAGCAGCCATGTAAAGATCTAAAAGTACAATAAATGATTGAAACAATAAAACTGAAGAACTTAAAACACATGGGAGAACATAAAGGTGATCTAGTGCCAAGAAGACTTCATCTTAGGCACCAGGTGAACCTTTGCAAGGAGAGCTTTCTGGGATGCCACAGCTAAAAAGATGCTGCTTGCAACAGAGATACTCGTACTCTAGATGTGTACTCACTGTATTCTCAGGCTGCACATATCATTTAACTCTTATATGTTTGCCTCCATCAACCAAAATGCACCCAAACATACTTACTTCTTGTTCACTAGAACTGTGCTTTCCAACTGCAGCAGTGATTAAAACATTCCATTTCATTGAGTCAAATGTATTGGGCAATGTTTCATCAAAATAGTTCTTACTAATGTTCTATGCAGTATCCTCTTGTCTAAGAATGCATTCATTTATAAAATTCACCTGACTCTATCTTTTGCCTTCATTCTGGAGTACATCAATCAGTTTCATTGACATCCATGAGCAGTTAGCTGTAGCTACCCTTCTCTGGATAGAGGCTTGAATGATGCATTATTTATTGTTTAGTAAAAAGCTGTTTGTATGAGCTTGTGTTTTATTTGGTTAATTGATTAATTGTGTTCTCGTATCTTTCAGAATGTTAATGAATGGAATATTGCTCATCTTAATACTATACTCGATGTTGTAGAAGAAGACTGTGGGATCTCGATAGAGGGAGTCAACACTCCATATTTGTATTTTGGCATGTGGAAAACAACATTTGCATGGCACACTGAAGATATGGATCTCTACAGTATTAATTATCTCCACTTTGGAGAACCCAAATCCTGGCAAGTTAATTTTTTATGCAAATTCATTTTGTGAGAGATGTCTTCCTTTCTGGAGGTTAAAGGATATCACAAAGTATTTGGTTAAATACATTGCCATATGTGAATACAGAAAGAGCAAGTTAGAAACTTGAAAAACTGAAGTCTGAGATTTGTGATGAAAGAAATATATGCCTTAAATGTTCAATTAATTTTTGAAGGCAGAAGCTTAAAGGAGATAGATAAGATAAGGAGCTCAAATATCCCAATGACAGAGCACTTGCATTGCACGCAAAAGCTCTCAGGTTCAATCTCCGAATAAAGCTGGGAAAGACTCTTTTAGGAAGGCCTGCCTAACTGCTACCACTCTGTCAGTGGTGTAGCTGGACATAAGACAATTTCTATAGATCATGTGACAGGAAACAAAAAGAAAAGAAATACTGCATATTTAACATATTTCTAGGCTACCTTTCAAAGCAGGACCCCTCATAAGTAAGTTAATGAAACAGGTTTCTTCCTGAGGCATGATTTTTATATGTCTATACTAATTTTTAAATTAAACAAGCACCTCAGACTTGGTACCCTTACCGCCAGTGCTTACACGTCAATGAGACTCCCCCTTCCAAACAGCAGCAGCAGCAGCAGCAGCAGCAGCAGCAGCAGCAGCAGCAGCAACGAAATAGAGAGTAATAATTATGCTGGGATGGAGAAAAAGAAGTGGAGGAAGAGAAAGAGACAGAAGGGGAGTTAGAGAATGTGGCTGTCCCTTTGCCTGCCTGTCTCTGATGTGTGTTTTTAGAAGGTTATATGCAGGGGATGTTTTCCCAACCAGAGAAACTCTGGATCTGGAAAAAATTACAGGGCTCTTGTTTCAAGATGGTTGGAATCCTAAACAAGAGTACTTTAATGAGGCAGTGGGAATACACTGCAACATTTTGTTGCCTATCGCTTTGATTCCCTCTTATATGAAATGTAAAGCCTACGAAATGTAACCTTTATGTGGCTTCCTGTTTGAAAGTGAAAGGGGGGCAACCAAAAATACAGTGGAAGATTTAACATCTGCACATCCTGGGAAGGCTATGAAACTTTTGAACCAGAGTTTGGCACCATTGTTTGTTTGGGGTGGATGAGGGTGGACAAGTTGAGGCTTAATCTAGGCAAGATGGATGAACTCTGGACTGGGAAGCCAAATATACTGCATAGAGGCATACAGCAGGATTTAGCTGAGATTGCACTTTTCCTAGAAGACCAGTGTCTCATCTGGAAGTCCTTGTGTTTACTTGTATTTATCATTAAGGGCCTGAGCTAGCCAAGGAACCTCACTTCAGCTTAGGAAGAAAAGAAACTACTTGTGTCAAAAATGATGTACAGTTGATTAAATGCAATGCTTAAATATGGAGGCAGAGTATAAACAAGCAAAGGAAAGCTTGCACTCTTTTTCTCTGTGTCTGTATTAGGTCCTAGAATAGGCCAGGGAATGCTATGTGAGCGTCTCAATTTGTTTGGGTGAGTGATGTGTCAGATCTTCTTCCCAGGCTGAGGATAAAGACAATGGCTCCTGCCATGGATTTTATAAGTTTCTCTCCCACTATTGCAGTCTACCCAGAACCTAACCCTTTCTTGCTAAGAGCTTGTGGAGGAGGAAGCTGCTTCTTTCCTACATATTAAACATACTAAAATGTCATTAAAAGTTCACAATACAAAATTTAAAACTACATATTCAACAGGTTAAAATATATATAAAAAGATAACTTGAAGAAGAAGAAATGAAAAAACCATATATTTAGACCTGTTAGCAGCTAGCAGGCCCCAGTAGCAGCTCGCAATAGAGGATGGTCTTTACCTAGTGCCAAAAGGTTAGGAAGGTTGGCACCAGGAGAACCTGAGTGGGTAGCTCATTCCATAACTGGGGGGCCACCACTGAAAAGGCCTTTGTCCTGGTTGCCACCAGCTAAACCTCTGTTGGAAGTAATATTTGGACATGGGCCTCAAAACTTGATTGCAGTGTCGCAGCAGAAGAAGGTCAGAAGAGGCATTTAATCAGTTATCATGGTCCCAAGCTGTGTAGGCTTTATTGGTTAAACCAGCACCTTGAATTGGGCTTGGAAGGATATAGGCAGCCAGTGCAAGTGGGACAGAATTGGTGTTATATGATCAGATCATCTGATCCCTGTTAATAGTCTGGCTGCCACATTTTGCACAAGTTGCAGCTTTTGAACAGTCTTCATGGGCAGCCCCACATAGACTGCATTGCAGTAATCTAGTTTGGAGATTACCAGAGCGTAGATTACTGATAGTAGGCTATCTCTGATAGGTGCATAGCTGGTGGGATGTACTCTGAGCCACTGAAGCCATCTGGACCTCAAGTGGCAAAGATGGCTCAAGGTGCATCCCCAGGTGACAAAGCTGTTCCTTCAAGGGGAGTGCAATCCTATCTAGCACAGGTTGAATTCCCTATGTCTGGTCAGAAGTACCCCCGGCTAATAGCAGCCTTGTCTAGATTGAGCTTCAGTTTGTTAGCACTCAGCCAGTCCATTGTTACAGCCAGGCAACGGTTCAGCACATCCACAGCCTCACCTGCTGAAGATCAAAAGGGGAGTTTGAGTTGTGCATCATCAGCATATTGATGACAACGCTCCAAAACCCTGAATGACCCCACTCAGCATTTTCATGTAGATGTTATACATCTTGGGGGACAAGAATGACCTCTGGAGAAACCCATCCTGGGATCCCATTACCAGATGTAACAAACCTGGAAATATTGTGGGGTGTTTTACACTTTTCACGAAAGTGTGCTGTGCCTGTGGTAGATTGGGGCAAATTAGCTTGAGAACACTGATAGTGGAAATAATTTTTACCATAACATTTATAAAAAGAAAATGGTTGACTGCGACATCAACCCCTTAGCATTGGACTAATGGACTACTCCTACTAATTATAATAGTACCACTCAGCATTTTCATGTAGATGTTATACATCTTGGGGGACAAGAATGACCTCTGGAGAAACCCATCCTGGGATCCCATTACCAGATGTAACAAACCTGGAAATATTGTGGGGTGTTTTACACTTTTCACGAAAGTGTGCTGTGCCTGTGGTAGATTGGGGCAAATTAGCTTGAGAACACTGATAGTGGAAATAATTTTTACCATAACATTTATAAAAAGAAAATGGTTGACTGCGACATCAACCCCTTAGCATTGGACTAATGGACTACTCCTACTAATTATAATAGAGCAAGAAAGTCAGGTAGTCATGGCTGGCCAAACAGGAGATGGGGAGAGTACTTTGGAACTGGTGAACTGCACTTTGTAAGGCCCAAGAAGTAGTCATAATGCATATATTTACTTGATTAGAGTTGGATTTCACTTTCTGGCAGGTCATGGTTACTTAGAAGCTCATGGCAGATACCAGCTACTTTGATATAGATCAGCCTTGGGTCACACAATGACCCGGTTAGCATGTAATGGCAACCCATGGATTAATTAGCCTATGGGCTGATGGGAACAAATGGAGAGAGATAGCACACTTCCTCCCATGTGCTTTCATCATCATATGATCGACCTGTTCATAAGTTGTTGAGCATTACTTGCAAATGGATAGATTTGAGTTTTTTAGGCTCTAGACAACCGAACACTTAACTCTACAGAAAGCCATTTGTTAACTTTTCTGTTCAGCCTCTAACAAAGCATTTGTTCCAAGATCACACATCACTTAGGCAATTTAGGGAAAAAAGAAACTTGAGAAGCATTGGAGGTATCTGGTCTAAGGTCCTGTGAAAACCGAGCACAATATCCTTGTCTCTTTGGAGGAGGAGCAAACCTGTCTCTTAACAGTTACTATCAGAAACTGGACTATTCTGGTGGCCGGAACCAGAAACCCACCTTAGTAAATGCAGGATCATTCCCAGGCGCTGCTGGAACTCTGTTTCCTAATGTGTGCCAGCTGGGAGTCCTGCAGGAAGAGCTGTATAAGCGCAAGGTCTTCACTTCAGAACTGGCCTCATCGTTAGAGGTCTTTCTGTTGTAATGCTTGTACCTTGCCTGACCCTTCCTGCATCTTGCTGTGTATCTTGTCTTGCTATGTTGCTTCAGCATACAGTTTGCTGTAGGGCCTGCATCTTCCCTGACCTATATCTTGCTGCGCTGTTTGTATCCTGTTTCGCTGTCTCAGCAGGGCAGGTCTTCCTGTGGTGTGGTTCAGTTCATGTACTTTGCCTGCTCCTTGCCACGTATCCTGCTCAGTTATCCTGCCTCAGGGTACCTGTACCTCTGTTTATCTTCCTGTTCTTGACCCTTGGCTTGTTCATGACCATGTCCTTGCTTTGTCCGATACATACTTATGGTTCCTGACCCTGGCCTGCTCTGTTACTATGACTTGGACTTGCCACTGAACCTTGCTACCAGGCTTTGGACTCTGTCTTGCCTCAAGTTCGGTTGCCCTGGCCCCGGCAACCCGTCTCTGGCTGCCCATGTCCTGACCATGGACTCGCACAACCATACTGTTTTCTCCCTGTAAGGCATACCTCCCTGAGAATTGGAAAGGGCCTTGCTGAGGCCACCAGCTTACTCAGAGTAGGAGGATCCTGTGATATCCAAGCAGATAGTTTTAGTTTGAGATTAGTCATGGTTGGGAGTAAGTGACCATGCTGAAATGGAAGTGGCTTGATGGTAGCAATGGTTGCATACTCATAATGTTCTTTCTGGGTTATAAGGAATAAATCATTCCCTTTGGGTATACAAAATAGCAAAGCAGCAGATGAGGAACTACGGCCTCAGAAAAGTGATTTTATCATGAGAGAAAGAGAATGGTGGGGAGTGCTAGGGATGGGTCATGAAAAATGGATGGGTCATGAAGAATGGATAGCAAGCCAGGTGAAACACTGGCAGATCTTGGAGCTGTGTGGCAGAAGGTCTGCTTTTGCTGACGCCCACAATGAAGGAGTGTGCAGGGTGGCTGGAATCAAGGGCAGCTATACACTTCTGCTTGGGTGCTCAAAAGAGAACAATGGCTGGAGTAAGGTT